CTTGTGACCAACCACCTTCCCGCATCTGGTTACAGACAGCGAAAGGTAGTAAAGATGTAGGATATTGTGGGATAAAGCACCCACATCTGCTCAATTTATTATTATTTTTTTACTTTTCTTTATCATGTGAGTCAGGCGAATTTGAAGTTAAACTACATAGACGGTGTACCCCCAGCAAAATTTATGTCTTACTTCCGCCAGTACCTCTAAAAACCAGAGCGCATTACATAATGACCCACCTTATGATTTGTGCCCCGGTGTTGGATGTTTGGATGTGGTAGCGATTTTTTCTCATCAAGTTACATTTAATTATATATATATATATGCACATTTGATAAAATAAGAATGTATATATTAATACTGCCTACTATCATGATGTCTTTCATATACTATTTAGCAGAGACCTATATATATCTCCTTCAAAATGTATTTTAACAATAAGTTTAAGTATAGATATACGTTTGTTATAATTAGATTCTGAATCATTATGTTTAGTAACATAATTGTTAAATGATAAATCTCTTAAGGATGGATTAAAAGTGAAATAATCGATATGAAATAAATCATTAATGTAATAAACGACTGGACAACCAAAAAAAGATATGAAAGTACAGAAAATTTACTTAATACCTAACTCCTCCATTAAGTAATATCTGGAAAGTGGTTAATGAATCCATGAACATGGAAACGACTAAATGAATCTAAAACCTGATATTTTTTAATTGAGTTTAATGTAATAGAATCGAATATTTGGTAAAACTAATGTTCTGTTATCATTATTTACTTAACTTGGTAAGTTTTGTGAGAATCTACCAAGTTAATCAAATTTCAGTTACTATATTTAACAGTTATTTTTTTAACTATCTTTCTTTTTAGTTTATTGCTGAAATATATCTTCAGATATATCACACCCTATATCTTGATATCCATAGTAGATATGAAAGTTCATTAGTGAGTTTTTGAGATGTACAGTTGTCGTAATTTTTAGTTTGTCGTTTAAAGTATTCTTAATTTTTTAAATGTCATAAGCTGAAGAATTGTTGCAGACCTTAGAATTTGTAATAATATACAAACGAACTTACTTGATAAAATCCTATATTATATTGTTTATCTTTACATATTACATTCGTCTCAATTATAGCTACAAATATGGATGTAACTTAATCAGTTATAGAATAATGGAGTAGATAACTTAGTAATCAAACTGTAAGAAACAGAAATACATAAAAAATAAAATATTCCCAGTCATCTTTAGCAAAAAACAAACTAATTCATAATTCTCATGTGAAATGTACTTCACATTATTTTTACCAAATAACCTTCCCAACAATAAAACACGTTACAACAATACTGTATAAAGTGATTTAAATATATTCATATAAAATAGCTTTAGCAAATATTCAAGTCGTGAAAATTCCCATAGCATTTGTTAAAAGTAAATATGGTTGTCAGTTTAGAATAAACAAATAATGTTTTTTAAAACAAAGACGGGCATGTTTTTTGAGACATATGATATTTTTCTGTTTGCTTCCTGTGAAAATGTTTTTTTATATAATAAAATACTATATGATAATGTTTTACTGAATAATTGAAACATGCTCTGATGCCTTCATGTAATATGGTAGTTTAGTGTAAACTGGAGTGTAGATGTGTTTGTTTTAAGCTCTGTTTTCAATGTTTTATTTCGATGTTTGTTTGCTAGAGAGCGCATGACACCATATCTAGAAATTTAATAAAACTTAATAATCTAGATGTTTCGAGTATAGATAAGAGTAGGATATAAATAAGGCAGTGAAGCAGTTAATCCATGAGTAATGAATGGATAATCAGTGAGTTATTAAGTTCAGTGTCAGTTAGGAGTTACAAAGCGATAGTCCACTTCTGCGGTTCAATTAGTTAGTCAGCGTGTTTGATATTAAATGAATTAGTGAGGGATTCTAGAAGTAAGTTTATTTGTGAGGGCGTACTTCCATCATTTTTGGAATATTTTTAAAACGTTATTTGTGAAGTGTATTATAATAAATTTGTTGTTTGTATTTATGAGACTCTATAATTTATGATGGTTCAAACAAATATAGATGAATACAGATGAATAAACATTATGATACTTATTACGTAATGATTACACAGGAAGTGGAGGCTGTGTTAAAGATATAATGTAATAACATCTGAGAAGTGACAAACGTTAATAAATTCACTTGTTATATTCAAAAGCTCCGTAACGAGTCCGTTCTTTGTCTCCATCAAAACTACTTGATATTAATGGTTGTGTACGATGGGTTTCAGGGAAAAGTATAGTCACAAGTATCCCTATGAAAGGATAAAAATACAACAGATATATGGGAATGAAATTAAAAATTATTCATCTTTACGCAATCAAATAATGTATGTTTAATAATGCATAAAGTGTTTCATTATAATTCATATTATATGAATAACGAATATCAAACTGTATCAATCTCATAGTCAATATATGTTGATACCCCTTACGAATCCCTTAAATAACTGAAAATAATTTTGATAATTATATTTGATACAAGACAACAGTATTAGGATTAGTGTAATTTTTAACAATACGTCTTATTTTTGTTCTCTTAGGCTTTATCCAAGTACATAATACTATTTCAACCACCTTATTATGGACGACGCGTTTCGCTTAATACCAGAGCTCATTAGTCCAGCTGGGATACAAATAACATAAAGGTGTTTCTTGCTCTTGAATGTTTCTCATTTCGACAGTTTGAAACATTATAAAACCATGTTAGTTCATTTGAGTCGTGAGTCAGACATTTATTCAGTTTTATTTTTCTTCATGATATAACAAATTTGATTGAAACTTCAAATGAGACTATTAATATATAGGGTGTTTTTCTTTTTTCCTAAAGAGCTATGTGCGAGATTTTTACTAGTGAATATTAAACCATGATATAAGTTACGTTGCTTTATCAGTAAAGTTTTGACATAAATTGTCGTTTTATTGTCACGGTTATATAACTCTGTGTAATATATAAAGCATATGTACTAGTGAAACTAATCATGAAAAATATAAAAAAAATTAGATCTTTGAAATACATTAAATAAGAACACATCTTATTCCTTGAATAACAACACTTGATTCTGACTTATCTTACCTATGAATGAAACAGTTGCTGTCACACAAAACGTAGCAAACCATCCTAATGAAGAAGTAACACGATGGAGGACTAAAGGCCAGAGAAAGAAAGAAGCTGTCTGGAATATAATGTATTGAATTATCAGTTAAATCTCGAACGGTATATTTTATGTGTTTTAGCAAGCTATCAACTTTATTTCTGATATTTTCTAATCTAGAAGATAACATTTATTTAATGTAAATAAACCTTCACTAAGAAAGTTGGTCTTTAAACAAACTTATCTATATAGATGAATCATTTCTTTAGTGAAACATTTACTTGAATATCTGGTAAGTTATGATTCGTTAATAAAAACATTAATATTATGGTATTTCTATCAACATGTTGGTAATCCTTGATCTACACTTACTGATGTAAAAAGTACCATTCCGAAAATTTCAGCAGTGTATTTCGTTCCAAATACTTCAGCAACAGCAACCGGAATACAAACAAAAACAAGAGGAAATGTAGCAAAGAGCCCACAAATCCAGATCATGTACATCACTTCTCCTCCATAAGGTGTCGCCACCATAGTGACCAGAAATACTGTCTTTACTCCCAGCAACAGGAGACTCGTTAACTAAAGATTTATACATACACATATATATATATATATTAAAATAAAAAGTTAAAAAAGGTATAAAAATATAAGGTAAACAGCAGGTAAATATAGGATAATGTTTAACCCAAAGATAGGTTTTTAATATACGTGCATAGTATTCTGTCCAGATTTTGTGTTAAGTTTATATTACCTTGTGTATCATTTTTAATTCAGAAAGAAAACACTACACTATGTATTTATCAGATCACTGATTAGGTATGTGAGCTATGAAATTGTTCGGATAATTTATTTCTCTGTGTTACAAAACAGTGGTTTTTAATTTTTATTCAAAACTATTTTCACTGTTTCAATATCACTGAGTATTATTACAGAAATATATTTTCGCTTTACGTAGAAACAATGGGCTATGTTGTTCCTAATTTTCTGCTGATCCATAAAGATTGTATATATTTTACACAAGAAATATTACTTTAATAATTTATAGTAACAACATAAGTTCGGTCACTCCACTTTACATATTTTTACCTTGTAAGATAATTTGTCCTGAATTAAGCCCACAATCACTCTGCTGAGGGCATGGACAACTCCAGCGACAGAGCCAGTGGTGGACAGAAACGTATCGTCTGGTATAAATGTCTGTCCATATGTCTGAAAAACATTAAGAAAGTATTCTTGAAGTATATGAACTTTCTTTCGTCACTCCAGTGAGAGTGTCTCAACACAGTCCTGGTGTTGGTACTTAGTTTGTAACTACAAGTTCTTCTTATTTTATATTAGGTTTGAACATCACAATCAATGTTTTCATACATAAGGTTATAGTTTCATCCCGTATCTCAAGATGACTTATAATGATAATAATATTGAATTTTTTATAAAAAAAAATCTTTCATGGTTATAATTTGAAAGGAATCTCAGAACATAAACTAATATCAAATTCATACACTTACCTTATAAATAATATTCACAAACATCAATGGATAATATGAGCAAATACAAACTATAGATAAAAGGTAAAATTCTTTCATTTTCAGAGCTTCTTTTGGTGATACATGAAGTTTAACATCACCATTACTGTACGGTTGTTCGTCATCAACGTTCACATTGGCTGAATCTTCTTCCAATGATTCAAATAAATTGTCGTTATTTATTGTTGTTCTATAGTCCAAGTCTTTCGTAATTGGTCCACTAAGTTCTTTACTACACGATCGTCTTGACGTTTCGTACACATTAGTTAGTTCACTGGATATTGTTTCTTCCTGTGTTAAAAATATGAATACAGTTGTGTCCAATATATATAGAAACATACAATACAATATAATGGAAAATAGACGTTATAAACTTTTCTAATTTTTCTATTACTTGACTAAGCAGACATTTTAAGCAATGCTATTTTCTTACAAACCAATATCGTTCGTTTGTATAGTATAAACATCTGTCTTTACAGCTCTGGTTCACATCTTTAAATGTATATCCTAAGATGTTAAGAATTCTACTGTACAATAAAATAACATTACACTTAGTACCAAAATCTTGGAGAAGAAACAGCTTGACAATAAAACGTATTTGGAACACATATAGTAGTAGCACTTACCAATATTTTACAAAACTCTTACGCTCATTCCAAAAAGCATTGATAAAAGTAGTGAAGTGTTTCAATAAATGTAATAGAAATAACCAAAGTACTTCTACTGCCATCTTTCGGTATAATAAGTAGTTAATTATTTTTCAGGTTATTCGTGCTTATGTCTTTATAAATCATCTAGGTTTTTGTTCATTATCTAACCAACATGTATCCGAGCAGAAGTTAACGTTTATTAGGTTCAATATGTGTGGTTGCATCTGAATTATTATTTTTTGTATAATTTGGTTGAAGCTCAGCATATGTCCACAGAAACCTTAACATTCAGACTAAAATAATCCCAGCTCGCTTTGCCGAAATCTGACACCAGTAAGTAAGTTGGACTTATTCAGATAATATGATGCGAATTTATTCTATAGTCTAAAGTTCAATTAATAAACTAATTTAATCAAATTCATCTAACCTGATTTGACTCTCGTGGTAATTCTTGGTACATAAGCAGCCCAATCAGTAGAAATCCACCATTCACACTTGCCATTATCAGAAACAAAATAGGTACACTTTCAATAACTTCATCGTTGTAAAAAAACCTGACAAAGTATTGAAAGTTTACTTGTTAATGAAAAATTAAATTGGTTTATGAATTCATTTAATACTATGTTGATGACGTTGAATAGCATTAGGCCACCTGGTGGCACAGCAGTAAGTCTAACGACTTATAGCTTATATTACTTAACCTAAAGTCCTTAGAAAGCATTGCTAAAAAGGCTAAAGTCGTGTTTATGAATAAATAAAGTTTTTAGGTTTTAGATTCTTTTCATGGAAATATTTCCTAGCCTATAAAAACTTTTTACAATAGTTTTGCAGGGCTATATGTTCTTTTATTAAATTCATGGAATTTGGAAATGTTAAATGTTAGCTGTTGAAATTGAGTAAATGACATTTTAGCTACCAGACTGGAGTAAGGAATTCTAAAGACACAAATATTATATCACAGAGCTATTGTGTTTTATCTATTACTATTTTTGTTTGTTTCATTATTTGTAGTTTAACACAAAGTTAAACAATAGGCTATCTGTATTGTGCCCTTTACGGGTATCGATACCCAGTTTCTACCATGTTTTATTTCTTGTATGTTTTAAACTAAAATAATTAACAATGATTTCTAACAATAATGTACAGGATCTCGTAAATTATATACGATGATAATATCTAGATTGTTTTCTAAATATTTGTGACCAATACAATGGATGAATAATACCCATTGGAAAAAGAAGTAAGGATTTTGATGATTTTTAAAGATAAAATAAAATAAGGTACAAGTAAGTTGAAACCAAGAAGCGTCACGTAAGTTTACAGAAACTTGTAACTTACCCATCAGAAGCAGGTTGGACATTAGTAGGGTTCACAAAGAATGTCTGTACACTATTCATAAACAGAGGAGTTAAAGCTATCCCTGAAGCCACTATCCCTGTCACGAGGCCTTTCTTGTTAGGAAACCACTGTAAAAAAGATTTGGTAATATATTTCGTGACGTATCTTTTGAAATACACAAGTTAAATGTTATATCATTTTATAAGTTTGGGAGTATATTATATGAACTATATAGAGTATGGTTATTGGTAGCAAAAATCACTAATCGCATCAGTAAACACATCTGGTATATTACAGATGTACTCGAGTTATATAAATATTTACAGGAAATGAAAAAGAGACCACGTCTACATAATAGTGATACCTGGATCTAGACGATCGTACAGCGCTTCAGAAATAACGGGGCATGTACTACCACCCCAGCCCCTAGTATACCCTTATCTCACATTTCATAGCTTTTGTTTGTTTGTAATTAAGCACAAAGCTACACAATGGGTTATCTGCGCTTATATTTTTTACATGTATGCTACTTTTTAACTGTTAAAAATCAAATAGTTAAATGATACTTTTTTCAATGATTGGAAGGTGAAATTAACATTGAAGACAGATATTCTATTATCTTTTGTAAGTATAGTTCTAACTGAGATGTTTTCAAAACAATTGTACTCACCTCAACAGCAGTGACTACGGGGTGGCCAAAGCAACAGACAAGTCCCAAAGTATCAACCACTCCATAAGTGATTATGGTAGCTACCAGGCTGTGTTGTATACTCCAGTACGTCACTGCTATTCCAAAGCTAACATATGATTTTTTTTTAAAACTTAAATCTTTTTAAACGATTTCAGCCAGAATCTTTTCAACGAAAACTACGAAAGTTACAAATACATTACACTCACATTAACAAAAAAGATATTAGGTGTAAAGCTGTCGTAAAGCTTGTGGTAAAACTGTTATTACTATAAAATAACCGTTATTTGCATGTAAAATGTATGGATCTTTCTCTAGTTAATTAATGCTTGTCCACAATGAACATTCAACAAAACTTATTGTGTTTTTCAAGCAATTTATATAGATGATGAGCTGTGTCAGAGAATGATTTTAGGCAACGACAACAGTAAGAGCATAGTCCGAGAAATACTCTTACCTCACCCAAGTTCTTCGTTAGTGACCAATAATAAATAAGTTAAATATAAATAGATATAGGAAGACCTTTGGTAATGCTTATGAAAGTTCTGAATTGGTTGAGGAAAGAGAACATTAGGCTCAATCCAAAGAAGAGTGAATTGTTCTGTCAATATATGAGTTTCCTGTGACACTTTGTCAGAAGAGAGGGACTGCCTGAAGATCCATCTTGATATACCCTGGAACATCGTACTCATCTACCTGGATAATACCCATATACACTACTTAATCCAAATGGTAACATAACAAATTGGCACAACCATTGAAGAAACAAGGAGTAATAGAACCAATTACTAGTTCCTGGTTGTCACTTATTGTACTTGTGAAGAATAAGAAGAAATATTGATCCACAAGGTTCTGCATGGACTACCAGAAGGTGAATGAAATTAGAAAGAAGGACGCCTACCCTCTGCTAGGGATATATTCTGTTCGAAATGCTCTGCCTGGTGAAAATGGTTTTCAATATTAGATCTTAGGAATGGATGTTGGGAAGTGCAAATCGTCAAAGCAAGTAGAGAGAAGATAACTTTTACTGTAAAATATGATATCTAGGTCCTCGAAAGCTTCAGCCTATTTTAAATGTTGGGGCTGCTTCTCCAGCATCAATCTTGTGAGATATTTTATTTGTTTGGCCAAAATCATTAGGTCTGCTGGAGAAGGTATCTTGATACGATGTAGTCATGTAATATCTGGCATTGATCAGCTAGAATATCTCTACACATGACTCTTGTAAGTGAGATGGTAAGCTGTCCTTATGCCATAATTTGACATCAGACTTTCTACATTTTGTCTCACTGGTGACTACAACTGATGTTCTCTGATATGAAAGTATTACCTGTACACGTTCATCTGTTACAATGTCCCATCCAGACTTGGCTAGAAATTTATGGTTTCTTGTGTTCGTGGCCCCGATGATGACAATTTTATTTTTTGAGTCCACAGAAACTAATTCAACAATTAACCCCTCTGAATGAACGGCAGAGTTCGGTTCTATTTGCTAGGCTTACCATGAATATTACCAGAGCCTTATTAGCCACTTCATTTTCAGGGCTCTTGATTATAGTTGTGTTTATCGTTCATTTATTACTTTCTTCTGTCGTTTAGTTTATCTATGAATTGTTAGTTGCATTAAAACACTAACTCACCTTCAAGATAATCATTTGTCTTTTGACTAAATATGTATGCATGATGAAACTGACACTAGATACTATTATAGTAGGAAAATATTATGTAAATTTATCATCAAATTAGGTTGTACTCTCGTGACCTTCTCAGTGAATTGATACTCTGCCTCAAGCTTCACTAGGAAAAAAGAGTCACGAGTTAGTTAGTAAACTGTTGCTCTTTATCACTCGATATTGTTATTAATATTTAAAAGGTATTTTGAAATGTTATATCAGCTGTATTTTTTGGCATTCGGTTTTTCTTTGTGGTTCTTTTTCCTGATTCTATTGTTTGAAATAATATTGATATTTTTGATATATTAAATTAAATTTTCACCAAAATAATCCCATAGCTACCCCCACTGTTGTAACGTGTTATATTATAATACTGATCTTTTACAATATATATTAAGATAATGCTAATTGTAATCTATGTCATTATAATAAATAATATATTTCTTCAATAAATGTTTACTACAGCCATGTTCACTTCCAGCCCTAATTTCAATTATCTTAACTTTTCTACATAAGCTCTGAAACGAATGTAGGCCTAACTTATTTATTTATATACACGGATACTAAAGTACATAAACTGACAATTTAGTGTTCACTTCATAACACCTGAACAGCTACTAACAGCTCCTAAGATTCTGTAAAAATTAAATCGCAAATGACGTCTCTGTGTTTATATAAACACTACTTCGACTTTGTTTATTTATAGGTTTATTATCATTGCATATTATAATAATTTACTTCCATGAATTTAATAACCTTGTTGAAATTGTTTTTATTAGTTATTATTATTAAATACATATATAAATGTACAACTTACCATAAAATACAAGAACCAACAATCATGCTCCAACGACGTCCAATAAAACTACCTAGTTTTCCTCCAAAGTAAAGCAAAGAACATGTAGAGATATACGAGTAAAAAATCCAGCTAGTTTCTTCATATGTTATGTCCTTCTTGACTCTTTGTCTCAGGTAAGAAGTTAAGTAAGGAGTGAGGTTTCCAAACGTTAGTATTGTACCAATTGCCAGATAAATCAGGAAACATCCACCAACTGATATGAAGGGTCGGACTTCCATTCTGCTAACTTTTATATACGAATAATGTTACTTCCATTACTTTGCTACAATTCTTCGGTATTATAGAATTATA